AAGACTTGTTCTGTGGGACCTTTGAGCTCATCAGCCCAAAGTTCTGCCCCGTGACTTTACACCGCTCAACCTCTTAAGAGCTTTTGCCAAATACAGGCTAAAATACTCGAGATACCTAGTTGTACTTGAAGGGAAATGTGATGTAAGCTGGATATCGGGTTCGAGAGATTCTCAATCCACAAGCGGATATATTTTCTGTATTGGAGGAGGTGTTGTTTCATGGAAGTCCACAAACAAACTTGTATAGCTCGATCCACCATGGAATCAGAATTCATCTCTTTAGACAATGTTGGTGAAGAAGCCAATAGGCTTCGATACTTTTTAAATAATATTCCATGTTGGAGTAAGCCTTTCCCGTGTGATGATTCACTGTGATAGCTAAGCTGCTATAGAAAAAGAGCGCAAAGCAACATGTATAACGGTAAGTATACACATATTCGTCGTAGACATAATACCGTTTGCCAATTGATAACAAATGGTATTATTTCCATTGACTATGTAAAGTCTAATTTGATCTTTAGTAAAGGAGGAAATATTGCTAGACGGAGTGGGCTTGAAATCCACAATGAAAAGTCTACCTTGCTGAATGGATATCTCATGAACTTAGTTCAAAGGAAAAACTAAGCTATGAAAACTCAACTAAGCACTTGGAACATAAGAATGTCTACAAGCTATTCCCTAAAGTAATCCAAGCAAGTGTAAGATTACCTGTTGATTGTGGTGAGGGTAAGTCATTTGGACTTTTAGTGAAACTCTAACCTTTTAAAAGTGGAGTAATACAGGATACTCTTGATAGGGAGGTTACCTATATAAGTATGAAGTGAGGGACACTTCAAAAGTAAACACTTGTGAATCCAAAGAGTTGTCCATGGCCAAGACGGACACAACAATAGAAGAAAATGGAGTTCAGGCTCTATTGTGTGAATGTCATTGTCTTGGTGTACACTATAGAGGAATAATTCAATGTCTTATGTTCACTAAGCCGTCAGTACATCCGATGATGTTTACTAAGAAATGTTCAAAGCCACAAGCTACTTTTTCTAATGCAATAGAGTCTTATGAGGATTTAGCACAAGAATGCATACATGCATACATTTGATTTTCACTCATGTGGAGGATTGTTGGAAAACCAGTTATATTGGGTGTGACCCAGTTTTGACTGATTGTTTTATGGCTAAATATTTAATTCGGGTTGAATTAAATTGTGTAGATAAATTCTACATTCCGAGTAGATACTCGTGGTATATTTATTTTCTCAAAATTGATTTTGAGTGAATGAGAAATAAATGATTAAAGTTATCCATAAATGGGCACGCAAAACGATGGTTGTGGGATTCGAAGGGTCAAATGAGATTAATTCTCTTTATTACAATAAAGAGAGTTAGAGAGGTCACAACAACAATAAAGTTATGCACCATGTGTTGGTATTGGCTTCAACCACACGCGCGTGTACGCGCCCGTTAGCCAGCAGGCTCAGCTCGGGCTTGGGCTTGGGCCTGGGACTTTGGCCTTGGTCCTAGGAAACTAGATTGTGAGCTGGACTTGGGCGGCCTTAGACGGTCTGGGCCGGTGTTGGACTTGGGCCTTGGACCTAGCCACTATATATATTATGTTGCAAATTTATTTGCAATTGTGGCTCAAATTAAAATTCAAACTAAGTTGAATTTGGACACGAGTTTTTACTCAATCCGTGAGTGACCTCACTAGGTTAACTGAACCTAGACATATTTTTTCACCTGATTGTCTTAGTGGTTACCATGTGGTGAATTGAAGGTGCAAACACCTGAAATCGTTTTGCAATTAACAACAGCCATGAGTGGTTGTTAGTGGCTTGTCTGTTACAAGGTGAAGACTAGAAGTCATCCCCCATAGGTGCTGGAAGTCCTACGAATTGGACAGGTTATAGAGCAGCAGAATACTTACACTATCATCTGAAAATCTGCATACTCTCAAAAGCCTCGCGTATCATAACGTTCAAGCGCTTAGTTCTCGACAAGTTCATCGGAGCTCGGAAGTTGGTGTGCTACAGCTTTCGAGACGTCACTCGTTGTATCTTTAGGGAAGAGACGTCTGATCTCGTCAACACTTTACGGGGCATTTTTGTCTTGCGGAAAGAGCAATTGCCTCGGCTTGTATTTCGCTTTCTTTTCGTAATTTTCGTTTCAATTTTTTAGTAAAAATTGTGAGAACTGAAATCACCATCTTCATTTCATAGGTTCCCGTATAATCTCGATACAAATTTTATAACATGTTTGTATCATACTCAAAATCTAACTTAACATTACACCAACTATACTATCGTCAATATTATCGATATAATTAAATAATACAAACTAATCATTCTTATATATCACATCAACTTTAATTTACTATTCATCCACTCACAAAATTTTAACGAAGTATCACTTTACATCATTCTCTCATACTTTTACATCAAATCAACTTTAATTATTTTGTTTCAAATGTTACTTTAATATAAAAATCAAAATCCCACTAACTAGTCATACCATTTTTTTTTAAAATTAATTCTGATTCACCAAAAAAACTTATTTTAAGCGGATATAGTTATATACAAACACGCCCAACATCACGTCAACTTTAGTCATTACAATCTCACTCTAATATGGGATATTATATACCTGAAGAAATAAACCGTTTCACTACGCCGGCCATACGAACCTAATATTGGGAAGGCCACGTTGATCGAGCAATAGCTGCGTGGAAGGCAGTGGTCGAATATTATGGGAGATCTGGTCGAAGATCGACTACTGGGTGAGAGATCATTGGATCGACCACCCCGTGAGTGAAGAGCAATCGAGAGCGTGATCCAGACGTGAGGAAGCGCGTGGGCCTCCTACGGAATTTCCGAGGAATATTCAAGGGAATAATTACCCCATGTGCAGAGGACACGCGACGAGGATATATTGGCGCCCAGTGATAGTGGCAATAACCACATCTGACACACACATACTGTGTGTGTACAGACGGGCAGATCCAGGCAGTTTTGGACTGACAACTCATCAAATTCGGGCAGCTCCTAGGGCAGGTATCTTACCCCTATATATATGTGGGTGAGTCTTTCTTGTTACACACGATTATCCATTTTTACTCTTGAGAATTGAGTGGATCAAACACTAACTTAAGCATCGGATGCTCTTCACCAGAAAACCCCTCCGGTGTGAGAGTTCTTTGCAGGTACGCGGCGTTTTACCGACGAGGAGGAAGAAGGCGAGCCGATTTCCAACCGATCGAAGTGTTTTGCGTTACCACACTCAATCAACTGTATTTAAAATTAGCTCAATTTAACCTCTAAATCCTTTCAAATCAGACATCAATTTTGTTATCTCTTACTTTTACATCAATTTTAGTCAATGTTCTGAAAACCGGACCGGACTGGCCGTTTCGACCGGTTCAACCGGCAACCGGCCAATACAACGGTCCGGTTAGAGGTATTAAACCGCTTGTGCCATAAACCGCTTACCAACCGTTCGGACCGGTCGAAAACCGGTAAAACCAAAAAACCGGGAACGATTGATCCGGCCCAGCGGTTTCCAATTTTGTTTATTATGCTCTGCAACTCGCCATCAGATTCGAAANAATAATGGATTCACGATTCAGGCTACAGATCTGCTTGAAGTAGATGGTGAGCGGCGGCGAGAAAAAAAGAATTGTGAGAGAGATAGGAATTGAAAGCTCAACGAGGACCTTTCTTCCTTTATTACATTCTTTATTCTTTCCTTTTTTTTTTTCCTTTTTTCTTGGGCTAATAACAATTGTCGGTTAAGTTGTAGGCTTTGGACTTGGCAATGCACAGCCCAAACATCCATTTTGGGAAGCCCAATATATAGGTCTTGAACTTTTATCAACATTCAATATAAAATTAATGATAAATATATATATACACTTATATTATATATATAAAATAAATAAAATATTTATATATTAATTAAACCGGTTCGACCACTGGTCCGACCAGTGAACCATTGAACCGGTAGCTTCACCGGTTCGATGAACGGTTCGGTTTTCAGAACATTGATTTTAGTCATTACACAAAGGGAACCTATTGGGTTGGGAAAAGCAGAAGTTTTATTAAACATTTATTATAATAATAAATTCAAATCTTACTCAATCACCTCTATTTAAAATTAACTCAATTTAACTACTAAATTCTATCAAAACCGATTTTACTTATATTCAATCACGTCCTTAAAATTATCAGTCCTGCTATGGAACCATCCGATGGCTCCGTTATGGAGCCATCCTCATTGAAAAACGTATTCTCAAAATACGTTTTTCAAATAAATTTATTTGGAAAACGTATTCTCAGAATACGTTTTTCAATGAGGATGGATCCATAACGGAGCCATCGGATGGTTTCATAGCATTTTCCTTAAAATTATGCAAAAAACAACTTATATATTCTCAATCAACATTATAGATTCAATCAACATAGAGTTAATGATTTTCTGGAATTTTCAATCAATTAGAAAGTAATTTTTAATTACTTCTTATGGCAAAACCACATTATTTTCAAAAATATAAATGCATTAATTACAAATGTAGCATGCATATCTTCACAGACCAACCGCAAATGTACATACATGTATCACAAATGTAGCATTCATATTTGCGCAGACCAATCGCCAAGCCCATTGCCTCATATATAAATTTGTATTCAACAATATTGTATGAAAATGTTGAAATGCTTCTTTCTTAGACAAGCAAAGCCAAAACCTCTTTTAACAACACACACAACAAACGAAATGAGAAAAAGATGAAGAAAGATGCATTATATAAAGTATAAATTGTGGGCAGAGCTAGAAATATTAAAAGCACACAGAAATTCAAAAGCAAAAGGAAGTTCACAAATAACAAGCAATGACACAAATACATGAAAAACATGTGGCATCCATACGCCCGCTACCTTTTGTTGAATAACCAGACTCTGCCATACAAGTGATGGGATGACCAAAGTTCAAATAGTAGTAACTTAACACAATCTACTTCCAAAGCTTTCTCAAAGACATGTTTTTCTCTGTTTCCTTCTTCATAACCTTTGCTACGGCCATCTCAAAGTCCTCCTGAGTAACGTGGACCCTCCTTTCTCTCAGAGCAAACATGCCTGCTTCAGTGCAAACAGCCTGCAAAACCAAAACAAACTTCAACATTTACTTCTTCTTTTTTTATTATTCATTAAATTTTAATTCTTGTTTTCGAGGGGGCAATTGCCTAATTTGATATTCTGGAAGAAGGTCCATAAATTCATTTCCAATGTTTAGTTGTAGTTCGAAATTTCTAATTACCTCAGAAAATACAAATAACTGGAGATGAGAGACTTAAACGTGAAAAGAGAGGTGCATCAAAGGGATATCCATAATTCCCACAAAAGAATTGAGATTTTATATATAGTTAGATTAGATACTAAACATCAAACTTGATGTTTATAGGAAAATTGAGGTTTTACTAACAAGGAGACTTCAACTTAACCTTCCTAGAGGACAAGTTGGCAGCAACACTCACTTCATGCGACACAAACTAAATTTCAAGATATTTAACACTTTCCAATGTATGCATAAGTACTTGGTAATAAAGCCAGAATGCGCAAACATTCATGGCATACAATATTGCACAAACTTCCATGTCATTTGTTAATGAAGGAAGACGCCTTCCAGAAAAGCTAACCTTTATATAACAGATCAATACTTAACTTGGTTGAGGTAAATAAAAAAAAAAAATGTAAAATTAATCCTACCTTCAATTCAGCACCAGATGCACCACTCATCTTCTCAGCAATCTTCTTGAGATCAATCCCTCTCATTAAATTCATTTTCCTCGAGTGGATCTTCAATATGTCAAACCGAGACTGTAATTGTTTTCAAACAACTAGTGTTAGAAAGCCAAATGTGATGCCAGTGTCGAAGGGCAAATAAAGTTCAATAAAAGATGAAAATCCTCAGGTTTTCTAATTTTGTTTCAAGGATATTGTATCAATGATGCTATTAATGACATATTGAGCACCATACCAATCAAATACAAAGCATAAGAATAAAAAAGAATCATAAAAATGTATCTCTGATCACAAATAGCTCACATCTTCATTAGGATTTGGGAACTCGATTTTCCTATCAATTCTTCCAGGCCTTAGAAGAGCTTGGTCCAGAATGTCAATTCTATTGGTAGCCATCAATACCTGTGTAGAACAAAGGTACCAAACAATAATTACCATTTCCAGTTCCCAAATCTGAGCTTTTTAAAACCACTAGATTCTTAAGCACCCGTTATAAGTAGGAAGGAGAAAAAGGAAATGGAAAGGTAAACATAAATGGCAAGAAATTAGATGTAATGTCAATAAGAAAATTTCAACATACTTTTATCTTATTAGATGCCTCAAATCCATCCAGTTGGTTGAGAAGTTCCAGCATAGTTCTCTGAACTTCACTGTCCCCATTTCCACTCCCAGATTCCATACGAGCAGATCCAATGCTATCAATTTCATCCATGAAGATAATGGATGGGGCATGTTCTCTGTCAAAATGAGATCGTCATTAAATGCTGTCTATCGGAGTATTTCCAGTGAATAATATCCAAATGACTAGTGATTGGATAAACTAACCTCGCCATCACAAAAAGTTCTCTCACCATCCGAGAGCCTTCTCCAATGTACTTCTGAACTAATTCAGAGCCCGAAACTCGGATAAATGTGCAGTCAGTGTGGTGGGCCACCGCTCTTGCAAGCAGAGTCTTACCCGTGCCAGGAGGACCATACAGCAACACTCCCTAAAGCAATTGAAAGGTATAAGCAACTGGGAATGCTTCTAATAGTTCATGGAATAAATGTTTCCTTATTGCACGCATTACCTTAGGTTGAGCAATACCAAGACTCTCGAACAATTCAGGATGTTTGATTGGAAGTTCAATCACCTGTAATACAGGGGCAAGGAAATGAAGATCACAATTTTATGAGGATAATAATAAAGATCCAGAATCCATACATGATGATAGATTCCAAAAGATACATATCAAACTAAGATCATAAGACACGTTTGATTTCCTTCAGAATTAGAATAAAGCCCTAAAGATTTCTTGTAAAGGTTCTGATAAACAATGGAGGAGAGGAAGATATGGGATCGAATTGAAGCACAATCTACATAAGCTCCTATGAAAGTGAAATTACATATCCTCAGTAGCAAAAAGAGAGTTCAGAATAAATAAATCGTATTATTTTATATCTACCACTTATCCACCACAACCATCTTTCTTGTGCATTCATATCTACCTAATGAACACATTGCCTTACAAAAAAAATCACAAATGTCGATCCAGTTATATTCCTCCAAGGCCATTAACCAGCTGAACTTACATAAATCAAGGACACTTACAAGACTGAACTTTGAATTCTAACTGAAATTGCATTGGACTTATCTCATATAAATGGATGTTTATACATTATTGAATATATATATATATACATAATATAATTATATATATTATATTATATTGTTTTCGTTTGTTGTGTTCACAATTACAAAATAATGTTTTCTATTTGTATCTATTTGCGAATCTTGAAATAGGAACCAAGAGATTAGAATTGACTATCAGTAATTACGGAGTGTCCTATGTATAAACTAATATGAAAAAGAGATTTAACCTCAATATTGTTAATTGCCATGACATACGAAACCATCAAAAAAATTGTCGCATTTAGAACTTGAACGGAATTCAATAGAGATTAGACAGAGTGAGTCTTTCTCTGGCCTTCTAGGTATCAGAACCATATCACTCGTGTATGAACCTATATTAATATTTTACACTGCAACACATGACTGTGGAGCTCATTATATTCAAATGCATACCGCTGCACAATTTACATAGGTGATCTATACTCCTCAAATAATTTTGATTTGATAAAATAATTTTTTTTTTTTAAAGTGCCACAAAAGCACAAAGGAAAATTGGGGAATGCTTTGAACAGTTTCCCACAAACAGCACATAATGGTGATCGATCCTTTGCAAATTAGCAAGGAACTAAGATAACAAGAAACAAAAAATCCCAGGATACACACCTCTTTTATCTCTTTAATTTGCTGATCTAGACCACCAATCATGTCATAAGTGGAATCCGGAACTTTTTCTACTTTCATAAGATTCACCAGCGGATCAACTTTACTAGGTAGGATCAAGTGGAGCACATAGCTATCATTACGTAAAGCAACCCTTGTCGAAGGCGTAATCTTTGTGATGTCTATGCTCTTATCAATGTCAACTACATACTTCCCCTCAGGATGGACCTAAAAAAAGATAGCACAACAAAATTCAATATTAGAAAATAATAGCAGTGTAGACAAAAGCTTCATTTACTAATATTGTTAAGTTGAGACAACGTGAAGATCATTATCCGACAAAACATATGAAGATCTAACAAAGGAAACAAAAGTACAAACTGAATAATTGCTTTCAGAAAATTTATATTCTTTTTTCCTCACACCCACCTATTCATTGTAAGAGGTTGGACCAGAATTAAACTTACTTTTTATCTCAATAACTGTTAGGCCAGGTAAAGAACATGAACAGACATCACACCTTTGAAAAAGTCGAAAGACAGAAATAAAAGCAACCAATTCTATATGAAAAGGTCTAGTTTCCTGAGAAGCTCCATTGAATAATACCACTCTAAATTCAATCCTCCTTAACAAACAGTTAATAAACCCCACTTCATGAAATATGAAGACTCAGGGAAAATAATAATCACAAAACTCTTCTCCAAATTTTCAATTTGTATTTTCTAGTCAGATAAATGATAAAAGATCTCTCTTTTGGAAAAATAAGAGAAAAAATAAGAACCAAAGACAGTCCAAATGAAAATCTTGAATAAACACTAGCATCAATCTGCACCAATTCATAAATATTTGTTCACTACATATAACATCAGAGCTGAGAAAAGCAGGAAGAAAGAGAGTAATAAACTATATAAATTATAATGCACCCTCGTATGAAAGGATTGTGCTGTTGCAGATGCTATGAAACTAACCTTAACAAGGACCTTAGATTTCCCCATGACTTTGACAACTTCTCCCACATATGATCCAGGCTCCTGAAGAAGCTGCAACTCTTCCTTCAGTGATCTCACTGTCATTAGGAAACAAATTGTTTTAGTTGGAGATATATTCCCCATACCACATCCTAAACAAATCTATAATGCATTAAATCTGCTTTATACCAAACTTTTTTGTATCCATCTTTAACAAGCCAATTTCTACCAATCCCACCTCAACAACAACCACATTAGGATAAGAATGTGGAGAGCCACGAAAAACACATCATGCTTGGATGAACATTAATAGTGAAATCTAGTCATGGCACATATATACCTACAATGGAGCTTCAAACTTCCAGTCTAAGGCTACAATGAGGTCCAAATCTTCATGAGTAAAACTTGTTTTCAATTTTGTTTTTGTTGAACATAAACCAGACAGTCCAAATAAAATAAGCCAGATAACAACCCTAGTGTGGAAGAATGGGGAAAATTCTCAAAATCAACACCCAGTGAAACAAGAAAACTAAATCTCATCTTCAAAAGCAAATAGAAGATCAACTAGCCAATGTAGGATAAAAATCCTATTCTAGATAAAATCATTGCCATACACCCATATTTTCTTTATGTTTCACCATCAAAACGAATATCTGGTCAACACTCAAAACCTATTTTCTTCGTCAACTACGCTAACTCGGGCAATTTTGAAAGCTTGAACAAAAGTCCCACTCCAAATCAAATTAACACCCAAAACTTACAAGAAAATCACTACATAAGCTACATAAAAAGAAAGTTTGATATTCGTTTTCAATAAGGGAAGTGCACAGTTATTTGATCATTTCCTTTAGGACGGGAGGCAAAAAAAATAGCTGAAAAGCCCTAGGGTTTCAGAAATGGCAACAAGTAAAGTTCACATCCACAATTGAATCCATAGTGAGATGACAAGATTAAAACATACCTCGACCATTTAGGTCATTGCGTTGAGCTTCTAATCGCTGCAGATCGTGAATTTTCTGACGGACTAGTAGTTGCATATCCTGTATGCGCTGCTGATAATACTGCCGGAGCCCTTCGCCGCCACCGGACCCGGCGCCTTGCTGGTGGATCTGCTTTGAGTCATCAGGCTTCCGAGTTTCCACTGCCGCCGTCGCCATTCTGTATGATAATTCACCGCTTGGGCAGATCGCAGAATAAAAAAGAAGGGTTTCGTCCCGGCCAAGTTATGCTGATGTCGGGTTATCGTTTTCTAGTATGGACTCACCTATTTTTTGTTGGATCTTATGGTGAGATTGGATTAAAAAAAATATTTTCTTTTTTTATGTTTAGTTTTCAATTGAAACTAGTATGAGTTCAGTGGACGGTAAGAGATATTCATTAATATTTATAAATTAAAAATTTTTATTAAATAATATTTATAAATTTGAAATATGGAATCAATATGTAATATAATTTACCTATATTAATTTATTGAAAATAGTATATAAAGTTTAAATTGCAAAATTACATAAAAATGTCTATTTAAAATTAGTATACAACCCGTGTAGTGTATATAACTAGTAATAAATTTAAAGTTTTGAGAACGGATGATGCCATTTATGCGTGTATCCTACAATAAAAATTTATACAATCAACTAAATTAATTTATATAATTATGTATGTTTCATAAAACAATTGAAATGCTTACATTTTCATCATGAAACAGGATTTGAATATTGTTCTTGGACTGCAGCTCGAAATTCGATTCAAGAATGTTGACTACTCTTAATGTCAAATACGGTTGGGTGGCCCTATTGACGTCCCCGAGTGTACCACAGAATCGTGTCATTTCTTCCTTTTTTTTGTGTATCTCGAAATATCTGAATGTGTAATTTTTTCTATGCACCTTTGGAGAAGGTGATAAAGCAATGTATTTATATAGGTAGGATTGTATGATTATTTGCGTCTTTTATTTTTATTAAGATATCTACAAATATTTGGCATAAAAATCTTACAAAATCTTTAAACGATAAATGAATAAACTCATCCAATAATCCCACAATAAACGGCGGCAATATGTAGGCGCGGAAATCGAAAAAAAGAGTTCCAAAATTTTCGAAGTGCATGGGCGGGAGCTTATTCATTTTTTGGCCAAAAATTATGCTAAACTTTAGGCGGTAATTGAAATCTTTTTTTTCCTGATTTTCTACATGATTTTTTCAAAAAACTATCATTCTCTCTTTATATATTATTCGTTTCAAAACAAGTATCATTTTAAAATTTTTATTCAAAAAATCGATTTGACTATATGTGCTTCCATAAAATAGTTATTTCGGTAAAATGTTATCATATATTTAATAACCTATGTAAATAGTAAGTATAAATGTAAAATTTATATTGTTTCATTACTTGAAATAATTTATTATTGCATAAACTATTCAAATAAAACAAATTAAGTAGTTGAGTAATTTATTAAACTATAAATAATTGACTATTTTGTTTACGTCCAAGTTAATATTGACCCGTAAGTTATTTAGTAATATATTAAATTATAAATAATTTACTATTTCGTTTACGTCCAAGTTAATATTGACCCGTAAGTTATGAATAATTATTTTCTACTTTTAAATTTAAATAAGAATCTTTTTATTTTTTTACCAATATATTATATACCAAATTTAAACCATGCAACTAATAAAGATAATAGCCGCAATATTTGACCAAAATGATTCTGTATATTAATTTTGGCAGGATTTTTCAAATTTTGGCTAAAAATATTACTCAATATAGTAAATACTTTAGGCGGGAAACCAAATATTTTTTTGCTGATTTTTAGTTGCTATTTCAAGTAAATACCATTGTCTTTTTATATATTAATAGATAGATTTACCTCATTACAATTAAAATCTAATATATGGAAATTATTGAAAAATATTATTTATTTTATCTATATAGATTTTCATACAATCGCATACAAAATAAAAATGAGATAAGTAGAAATGTTTCATATTTTTTTAGATTTTGTCTATATTCGTGTGTATTTATTTATTTTCTTGATAATTATGTCATCGTTTGTTAAACAAAATATAATTGGTGTTACTTTTAAACATAGTTGTGTGATGGAGGAATGGAGATGTTAAATGGATCACTTTTATATGATATGTCTGTTTTGACCCCCCAAAAATAAGTTGATTCATCCATTTTTTATCTTTTTTTAGTCAATGTTTTCTTTAACAGAACGTTAAATCAATATTGTTAAGGCTAGCATGTAAGTTAATTAACATATTATCTCGCTAACACGTTTATATTAATATAAATTTAATTTTAGTAAATATTTATTTTTTGATATAAAAATATTATTTCCACTCCTACTTACACTTTCAACATTAATGGAACAGTAAGAGAATTCATTTCTTCCTCTAGAAGGTTGAGGCAGGGAGATCATTTATCCCCTTACATCTTTCTCTTGGTTTCAAAGGTTTTATCTCTGCTAGTTAATATTACTGCTGGGTGAGGGATGTATAGAAGATTGAAAATTTCAAGAGCAGACCCTACTATCTCACACCTCCTTATTGCAAATGATTCTCTGTTCTTCTGTAAGGCTGATTCCCATCAAGATGTTTTTATCACAAGTCTGTTGGAGAAATATAAATTATTTATAGGTCAGAAGGTAAATATGAGTAAGTCAGTTGTTTTCTTCAGTAGGAAAACTCCAGAGCAAGTGAAAGCAAACATTTGTGAAACCCTTCGAGGAATAGTGGCTTACCATTCAACAAGATATCTAGGCTTGCCACTAGGAATTCGGAGATCCAAGAAGAAGGCATTTGGTTATATATAGTGGAAGCTGTGAAAACAATAATTAACAGTAGAAAAAAAACAAGTCTCCTAGCTTAGTTGTTTAATGCAGATGTTTGCACAATCATTATGCAGATTGATTCTATAAACCCCGACAAAGAGGATGAATGGAGTTAGAGGCTGGAAAACAAAGGTAAGTTTTCAGTCTCCTCAAGTTATGCCTACCTGATTGAAGATAAAGTGCAGAGGATGGATGTAGCTGATGGTAGCTCAACAACAGTGAAGGAGAAACAAGCCAGACTGAGGAGCTGGAAGCTGAGGATTAAAGGTAAAATAAAGAACTTCATCTAGAGATGTTTCTTTGGTAATTTATATGTCAGCTTAAACTTGAAGAAAACAGGCTTGAAGATTGAGGTATTGTGCAAAGGTTTTGGAGATGAGGAACAATCAATTGAGCCCTTGTTCTTCAGATACTAGAGACAAAAGAAGGTCTGGAGCATAACCCCAATCAATTGGGATGGCATCTCAGGGGATGAATGCAACTTCAAGAACTAGTGGTAGCAAATTTGTGCTCTAGATGGATCAAAAAAAATTTAGGATAAGATTCAATTGACCACCTATATACTTTAGTGTTGTGGAAAACCCGCAACTGGTGGTTGTTTAATGGATTGTGGATGCCAAAGAAGATCTCGATCAAGGAGGCTCTTAAGGAGTGATTAAGCATTTCAACAGGTGAAGGGTTAGAGGGTTTAGTGTAGATTAGTTTATGGTTTTGTCCTTCTTTAGGTGTAAGTTTGTATTTGTTGTTTCAATTAGGGGTGTTCACGGTCCGGATTGGTCCGGTTTTAGCCCAAACCATGACCAAACCGGACCTAACGGTTAATTTTTTTTCTTGTCCATAACCGGACCGGTTTTATTTTTTAACTGACCACAATCCGGACCGATTGGACGGTCCGGTTTGGCGGTTAACCGGTTAAATTCAAAATCCTTGTTTTGGGCCTTCAATTTTTATTTTTTTCATTTTGGACTTAATTTTGTTTTTTCAATTTTGGGCCCTAAAGAGATTATTTGGGCTTAAAATTTAAGAAAAACAACAATAATAAAATAAAAAGTACACAATTCGTCTCATAAGCATAAAAATGCACATTTTCTCCCATAAACATAAAATACAAAAATGATGAAGATTAATTATGCAAACTGAACCCAAGCAAACATTCATTTTTCAGTCAGTTTATACACCTGAAATAATAAGAGCAAAGCATTCATAGTGAATGTATTGTATTTGTCGGCCATAGTGAATGACTGAATGTATATATATATTTGTTATAGTTTTTTAATATTTACCGGTCCGGCCCGGTTAAACCGGCGGTTTGCCGCAGGTAATCCGTTAACCGGACCGGCTATTCCGGATTTTTAAAAAAATTAACTACCAGAGTTTTTAAGGCTTTTTTAACTGACCAATTAACCGATTCGCGGTCCGGATTGACGGTTTTTTCCGGTTAAAACCGGTCCGTGAACACCTCTAGTTTCAATCATTTTTCTGGTGCTCTGTAAGGTTTGTTGTGCTTCTAGCCAAGGATTATTGCTTTTTGTAGTTTTTGCTAGTGGTTGTTTGTTATTCTAGTCCATCTGTTAGGTGAGTCCTCCCTGTTTCGTCTTAGTTTGAGGTGGTTTATTCGGGTTTGTATACATTGTACTAACTTTGTTCAAAAGTTGTTATAATGTTATTTCTATCGTTGCAAAAAAGAAAAGGAAAAAAAAAAAGATAAAATGAGTTAATATTGAAAAAAATTGATTGAGTAAAAATTGGATTTGATTTTGAGTTTATGAGTGAAAACTCAAGATGAATTAAAATATACTTAAAATTAATATGATATAAAAGTAGTAAAATAATGATTGATATTTCAAAATATGTGAGTGAATAAATAACAAATTTTATTAAAATTTGTATATAAATAATTTGTTGATATTATATAATTATATTGATAAACTTAAGAGAGTTTATAGTTTTCATAAGTAGTAGATTTTAAAATTAAAAATATGTATTCATTTGGTTCCATTAAAAAAAATATATATATACTTATCCCACAAAACCAAATTTTGAATATTTCCACGTGCGCCTGCCAATTTTTTGTTTGCAGTTGTTGTCCAAAACAAAATAGAATATTGACTACATTCTCGATTTTATTTTTGAGGGTGAAGTTGGATGAATGGGTTCATTCACCCCTTTTTCCCTGTTGTCTCCCACTCGCTTAGAAACACTTTTCTTAGTTGTTACAACCTCGAGAAAGAAAAAATGATTCTCATGTTTCAACAAGTAGAAAATTAAAGATTCACTGCTTTTAGTTACGACCAAAAATAACTTCATACTTCATCTATTTCAACTTATATTCTCATTTAACCATTTCTGGTGTTCCTTACACCATTCATATGTAACTTCAATTTATATTCAGCGTCTTTAACTGCTCGGCTACATGGAAATGAATCGCTCAAAACTATAAAACCCATACACAATACACTCATTCAAATAAAAAGCGAAATAAAAAGGGGAGAAAATTACATTCAATAACCTACCAAAAAGAGAGTAGCTCTTTGTCAATGTCCCATTGAAGGCAAAACTACTAAAAAAATTCAAACAAAACAAAACCAACACAGAAAAGGGATATACCCAATTGTAGAGCAGAACTTGGGCTCTCACTCTTGAGAGAGAAAATATACAAAGAAAATATGGGGCTGCAAGCAATAACAGGAAAATAAAAAGGAAAGGAATAAAGAAATAGACTAATTAAAATAAGGTGAAGCACACCTAATGATTTTGCAACCCTGATTTTAATACGAGCCTATTTATAAATGGTGTTACCGCCGTAAGCAGCGCTTTTGGACATTCCTCGTGCGGAAGATGGCCACAACCAGATATTGCCACCATTCTCTGCACCATAATAAGAATTTATACATTAGTTAATAAAAATATATAAAAAAAAAAAATGAAAAGGATAAAGAAGAAAAGTCATGCTTAAGACTAACTATAACTGTAAGTTTGTTAAAAGACTTGCCTTAAGGAGTGTTTGAAAACAAAAACCATACATTGTTTATATTGTAATTACAACTGCTTTTGATTCTACACTGTTTACTCCATGTACAAACATTCTCAATTTATCCAATCTTATTTTCAACAAAAGGAAATGTCAAGTTCTGAATGTTTACCTAAATGGTACAATAAATTGAAATTCCGAATGTTTAACCTACAAAAGCAGAAATAGCGCTGCGAAAATTGAAGTAGCAATGAAGTATTGTTAACTCACAGAATTGGCGAGTTTAGATGCCAAGGTTTGGACATAGTTGGGAGGCACAAGGACATCTTCAGAACCGGCAACAAATAAAACGGGTAGTGTTTCGACTGATTTCAGAACCAAAGCTGCATTTTGTGGTGTTAAGACTGTCTCAAAAGATAGTTTTCCTATTTCATGAAGTGCCTCATCCCAACCTTCTACATGCAATGGGGCCTGACAAAATACAGAAGCAGAAATATATATATATATATATAATCCATGAGATGGGGAATTAGAACATCTATCCTATTGATTATACACGTATGTAAAAGCTCCATTTTTAAAATAGCCAATTGATATGACTATTTTAGTAATTAATCAATATATTTTGGGTATAATGATTAAACCATGCTCTACTTAACGAAGAAAAGAAATTTCAGTTCTCTTGAAACTTCAAAATTCCCTACTTACGCATTTCCTGCTACAACAAGCACCCTCACAAGGAGCATAATCCTGATAATCAGAAATTATGCTTGTTACGCACATATAATATATTGCCAAGAAAGATAAACGTTCACCCATGAATTACCAGATGCAGACCCAATATGTTATCAAATAAAACAATGTTCACGCATAACACAATTGAGGAGTCTAAGGTATGACAAAACGTTATACATTAGTTACGTTCCAAGGAAAATCCATGAAAGAATGAAGCCTATACAGACTATGAAAACCTTCGTGAATATCAAAATGCATGTTTTTGATTTGGGACCACAACATGTTCCCATTTATCATAACATCATAACCATCAATTACAATCTGGACAAAACTAGTGCCGTGAAAAAGAATCTTTTTTTATATGTTATAGTAGATTCGGAAAGCATAATATGTAATCCAAAGTCCAACAATCACGGGAAACTTAGCTATTGTAATTGCAATCAATAAATTAATGCCCCAGAAACAGAAGACTCAGAATACATACGAGCTTTGCATGCATAAATATATATAAGATTTGAAAGCAGCTTCTGTTCACATTTCGAAGGAACAAGATTGATAGCATGCATAAAATCAAGGGTCATCATAACATCATAGTGAGATGCATACCTTATATAGGTTTAAGACTTCAGTTGTCAATTTGGTTGCATCGTACCAGGCTCGACCGTTGACCACTTGGCTAATTTCTGTTCGAAGAAGAGGACGCACCAAGTGTTTTTTCCCCAGAAAAGTGCGTAATAATATTCTTGCAAAAGCAGGAACCAATTCTCTCGACAAACTCATGTTAGTAAAATGGTCCCCTTTATTTCAAGTTGAGAACACATGCATATACAGGAATCAAATCTTACATTAGGAAAGTAAGATCAAAATTTGGATTAGAATTACGTTAAGACATGATACACTACACACGTTCTCACAATAAGTTCCAATTTCACACACATATTAAGTGGGCTGGAAAAAACACAGAATTAAAAATCTAGATCTTGATACATCAATTTAATAGTTAACTTTTGTAGCATAATGCAATTTCTTAGGAAGACATATTCCAAAAGAGTTAGACAAGCATCATATATATTGCAGGGATATACAGGTCCAATCAAAACTGACATCAACTTTGTTATCTCTTTTTACTTTTACATCAATTTTAGTCATTACATAAAGGGAACCTATTGGGTTGGGAAAAGCAGAAGTTTTTTTAAACATTATTATAATATAAATTCAAATCTTACTCAATCACCTTTATTTAATATTAACTCAATTTAACTACTAAATTCTATCATAACCGATTTTATTTATATTCAATCACGTCCTTAAAATAGCATTCATATTTGTGCAGACCAATCGCCAAGCCCATCGCCTCATATATAAATTTGTATTCAACAATATTGTAAGAAAATGTTAAAATGCTTCTTTCTTAGACAAGTTTGGGTCCTAAGCCAAAATCTCCCACCCTGAATGGGTGCTTTTAACAACAGACACAACAAACGAAATGAGAAAACGATGAAGAAAGATGCATTATATAAAGTATAAATTGTGGGCAAAGCTAGAAATATTAAAAGCACATAGAAATTCAAAAGCAAAAGGAAGTTCACAAATAACAAGCAATGACACAAATACATGAAAAACATGTCATCCGTACGCTCACTACCTTTTGTTGAATAACCAGACTGCCATATAAGTGATGGGATGACCAAAGTTCAAATAGTAGTAACTTAACACAATCTACTTCCAAAGCTTTCTCAAAGACATGTTTTTCTCTGTTTCCTTCTTCATAACCTTTGCTACGGCCATCTCAAAGTCCTCCTGAGTAACGTGGACCCTCCTTTCTCTCAGAGCAAACATGCCTGCTTCAGTGCAAACAGCCTGCAAAACCAAAACAAACTTCAGCATTTACTTCTTTTTTTTTTATTCATTAAATGTTCTTTATTTCTTGTTTTCGACGGGGCAATGCCTAATTTGATATTCTGGAAGAAGGTCCATAAATTCATTTCCAATGTCTAGTTGTGGTTCGAAATTTCTAGTTACTGCATGGCGGTGGATATGATGTTACCTCAAAAAATATAAATAACTGGGGACGAGAGACTTATACGTGAAAAGAGACATGCATCGAAGAGATATACACAATTCCCACAAAATAATTGAGATTTTATATATAGTTAGATTAGATAGTAAACATCAAACTTGATACTTACAATTATATCCCTAAAATTTAAAGGAAAATTTTGAGGTTATACTAATAAGGAGACCTCAACTTAACCTTCCTAGAGGACAAGTTGGCAGCAATAATCAATTCATGCTACACAAACTAAATTTCAAGATATTTAACATTTCCCAAGGTGTATGCATTAGAAACTTCAATCAAGTCGAGTACTTGGTAATAAAGCCAGAATGAGCAAACATTCATGGCATACAATATTGCACAAACTTCCATGTCATTTGTTAATGAAGATGCCTTCCAGAAAAGCTAAGCCTTTACATAACAGATCAATACTTAACTTGGTTGAGGTAAATAAGAAAATATAACATTAATCGTACCTTCAATTCAGCACCAGATGCACCACTCATCTTCTCAGCAATCTTCTTGAGATCAATCCCCCTCATTAAATTCATTTTCCTCGAGTGGATCTTCAATATGTCAAACCGAGACTGTAATTGTTTTCAAACAACTAGTGTTAGAAAGTCAAATGTGATGCCAGTGTCGAAGGGCAAATAAAGTTGAATAAAACATGAAACTCCTCAGGTTTTCTAATTTTGTTTCAAGGATATTGTATCAATGATGCTATTAATGACATATTGAGCACCATACCAATCAAATACAAAGCATAAGAATAAACAAGAATCATAAAAATGTATCTCTGATCACAAATAGCTCACATCTTCATTAGGATTTGGGAACTCAATTTTCCTATCAATTCTTCCAGGCCTTAGAAGAGCTTGGTCCAGAATGTCAATTCTATTGGTAGCCATCAATACCTGTGTAGAACAAAGGTACCAAACAATAATTACCATTTCCAGTCCTAAAATTACTAGATTCTTAAGCACCCGTTATTTTCTAGAATTAAATAAATAGTAGGAAGGAGAAAAAGGAAATGGAAAGGTAAACATAAATGGCAAGAAATTAAATGTAATATCAATAAGAAAATTTCAACATACTTTTATCTTATTAGATGCCTCAAATCCATCCAGTTGGTTGAGAAGTTCCAGCATAGTTCTCTGAACTTCACTGTCCCCATTTCCACTCCCAGATTCCATACGAGCAGATCCAATGCTATCAATTTCATCCATGAAGATAATGGATGGGGCATGTTCTCTGTCAAAATGAGATCGTCACCAAATGCTTTCTATCGGAGTATTTCCAGTGAATAATATCCAATTGACTAGTGATTGGATAAACTAACCTCGCCATCACAAAAAGTTCTCTCACCATCCGAGAGCCTTCTCCAATGTACTTCTGAACTAATTCAGAGCCCGAAACTCGGATAAATGTGCAGTCAGTGTGGTGGGCCACCGCTCTTGCAAGCAGAGTCTTACCCGTGCCAGGAGGACCATACAGCAACACTCCCTAAAGCAATTGAAAGGTATAAGCAACTGGGAATGCTTCTAATAGTTCATGGAATAAATGTTTCCTTATTGCACGCATTACCTTAGGTTGAGCAATACCAAGACTCTCGAACAATTCAGGATGTTTGATTGGAAGTTCAATCACCTGTAGTACAGGAGAGCAAGGAAATGAAGATCACAAATTTTATGAGGATAATAATAAAGATCCAGAATCCATACATGATGATAGTTTCAAAAAGATACATATCAAACTAAGATCATTAGACATGTTTGATTCCTTCAGAGTTAGAATAAAGTCCTACAAATTTCTTGTAAAGGTTCTGATAAACAATGGAGGAGAGGAAGATATGGGACTGAATTGAAGCAAAATCTACCTTATAAGCTCCAATGAAAGTGAAATTACATATCCTCAGTAGCAAGAAGAGAGTTCAGAATAAATAAATCGTATTATTTTAATGTCCTGGTGCCACTTATCCACCACAACATCTTTCTTAAGCATTCAATTCTACCTACTGAACACATTGCCTTCCAAAAATAAAAAATAAAAAATTCACATATGTCGATCCAGTTATATACCTCTAAGACCATTAACCAGCTGAACTTACATAAATCAAAGACACTGACAAGACTAAACTTTGAATTCTAACTGAAATTACATTGGAATTATCTGTGCCGCAAAAGCACAAAGGAAAATGGGGGAATGCTTTGAACAATTTCCCACAAACAGCACATAATGGTGAGCGATCCATTGCAAATTAGCAAGAAACTAAGATAACAAGAAACAAAAAATCCCAGGATACACACCTCTTTTATCTCTTTAATTTGCTGGTCTAGACCACCAATCATGTCATAAGTGGAATCCGGAACTTTTTCTACTTTCATAAGATTCACCAGCGGATCAACTTTACTAGGTAGGATCAAGTGGAGCACATAGCTATCATTACGTAAAGCAACCCTTGTTGAAGGCGTAATCTTTGTGATGTCTATGCTCTTATCAATGTCAACTACATACTTCCCCTCAGGATGGACCTAAAAAAAGATAGCACAAGAAAATTCAATATTAGAAAATAATAGCAGTGCAGACAAAAGCTTCTTTTCTTAATATTGTTAAGTTGAGACAACGTGAAGATCATTGTCCGACAGAACATATGAAGATCTGACAAAGGAAACAAAAGTACAAAATGAATAATTGCTTTCAGAAAAATTATATTCTTTTTTCCTCACACCCACCTATTCATTGTAAGAGGTTGGATCAGAATTAAACTTACATTTTATCTTATAAATGTTAAGCCAGGTAAAGAACTTGCACAGACATCACACTTTGAAGAAGGCGAAAGATAGAAAAAAAAAGCAACCAATTCATATGAAAAGGTCTAGTTTCCTGAGAGGCTCCATTGAATACCACTATAAATTCAATCCTCCTTAACAAACAGTTAATAAACCCCACTTCTTGAAATATGAAGACTCAGGAAAATAATAATCACAAAACTCTTCTCCAAATTTTCAATTTGTATTTTCCAGTCAGATAAAATGATCAAAAATCCCTCTTTTGGAAAAATAAGAGACAAAATAAGAACCAAAGGCAGTCCAAATTAAAATCTTGAATAAACACTAGCATCAATCTGCAACCATTCGTAAATATTTGATCGCTACATATAACATCAGAACTGATAGAACCAGGAAGAAGGAGAGTAATAAACTATATAAATTATACTGAACCCTCGTATGAAAGGATTGTGCTGTTGCAGAAGATATGAAACTAACCTTAACAAGGACCTTAGATTTTCCCATGACTTTGACAACTTCTCCCACATATGATCCAGGCTCCTGAAGAAGCTGCAACTCTTCCTTCAGTGATCTCACTGTCATTAGGAAACAAATTGTTTTAGTTGGAGATATATTCCGCATACCACGTCCTAAACAAATCTATAACGCATAAAATCTGCTTTATACCAAACTTTTTTGTATCCATCTTTTAACAAGCCAATTTCTACCAATCCCACCTCAACAACAACCACATTAGGATAAGAATGTGGAGAGCCACGAAAAAAAATATCATGCTTGGAGGAACATAAATAGTGAAATCTAGTCATGGCACATATATACCTACAATGGAGCTTAAAACTTCCAGTCTGAGGCTACTATGAGGTCCAAATCTTCATGAGTAAAACTTGTTTTTGTTGAACATAAACCAGACGGTCCAAATAAAATAAGCCAGATAACAACCCTAGTGTGGAAGAATGGGGAAACCTCTCCAAATCAACACCCAGTGAAACAAGAAAACTAAATCTCATCTTCAAAAGCAAAGAGAAGATCAACAAGCCAATGTAGGATAAAAATCCTGTTCAAGATAAAATCATTGTCATACACCCCTATTTTCTTAAGTTTCACCATCAAAACAAATATCTTGTCAACAGTCAAAACCTAATTTCCTCTTCAACCACGCTAACTCAGGCAATTTTGAAAGCTTGAACATAAGTCCCACTCCTAAGCAAATTAACACCCAAAACTTACAAGAATATCATTAGATAAACTACATAACAAGAAAGTTTGATTTTCGTTTTCAATAAGGGAAGTGCACAGTTATTTGATCAATTTAGGACGGGAGGCAAAATAAATAAATAAATAAAAATAGCTGAAAAGCCCTAGGTTTTCAGAAACGGCAACAAGTAAAGTTCAAATCCACAATTGAGTCCATAGTGAGATGACAACATTAAAACATACCTCCGGCATTTAGGTCATTGCGTTGAGCTTCTATTCGCTGCACATCGTGCATCCCCTGACGGACTAGTAGCTGCGTTTCCTGTATGCGCTGCTGATAATACTGCCGGAGCCCTTCGCCGCCGCCGGACCCGGCGCCTTGCTGGTGGATCTGCTTCGAGTCATCAGGCTTCCGAGTTTCCACCGCTGCCGTCGCCATTCTGTATGATGATTCACCGCTTGGGCAGATCGCAGAATATAAAGAATGGTTTCGTCCCGGCCAAGTTATGCTGATATCTGGTTATCGTGTTCTAATATGGACTCCCCTATTTTTTGTTGGATTTAGGGTGAGATTGGATTAAAAAAATATATTTTCTTTTTTATGTTTAGATTTCAATTGAAACTAGTACGCGAGCAGCCTGACATTAAATATAATTTGAATGAATTATATAATATACATAAAATATGTATAGAGTTAATAAAAAGTAGGATAAATATTTTATTTAATATATTTAAGATATTCTCCTGAATATAATCTGAGTAAAACTGTAGTCATTATGACTATTATCATAAATAATAATCATAAGACAACTAGAATCTATAGTGATTCTAGAAACATCATATAACTGATCCTGAGTACAAAATACCATATATTTTTTATAAAAAATAAAATATAATTAAATTATAATAATCATTTGTGATATTCAACAAGCACTCCTTGAAACTTCATCATTCCTGAATAATAAAGACATTGATGAATAATAAAGACATTATCCCTCATTAATATAATTTGAAAACGTGCTGAGCCTAAATGGCTGGCTCGCACGCTTTGGAAGCTTACTTGGCAACATTACATGTTTCGGCTTTTGGTTCGGATAAAAATTAATACAATTATATTCCAAAATAAATTGGTTCGAAAATCATTTATATTCCAAATTAAATAGATTCGAAAATAGGATTTCTTATTAATCCAATCCCCTTCAACTCCTAACTAGGATTCTTATCTTATTCTTATAAAATAAATAAGATTCTTATCTTATTCTTATATACAGTGTAAAATTTAATCTCATCCCCTTCAACTCTTCTTATTCTACTTAATATTATAATATATTTTTGTTTAATCCAATTAATAAATCGGTGAAAGATTCTTATTTTGCTTAATATTATAATATATTTTTGCTTAATTTAATTAATAAATCGGTGTGACAAAGGATTTTTAACAAATCTCGGTTTTCACATTATTTAAATAACCATCCCCCTTTATTCTGATTCCCCATTCATCTCGATTATTCATCTTACAAAAATTGAATTTACCATGACAACTGTTTTCAACACAATTGAAGAAATAACATCGGCTAAAGAAACATAGAAAATACACGTCCATAGTGAGCGTGTATAGGGATGAAAACGATCGGGAACGATCGGCATAGGGCTCAACCATTTCCACTTTCATATTTTTTTCTCGAAAACGAAAATGATACGATAATGTCGGAAACGAAAACGACATCGGTATTCCGGTAATATCGAAAACGAAACTATCCGATCGAAAATACATCGATAACGATCGAAATATATTAAAACGGTATTTAAAAAACGATAAACACACCACATTATAAAATATAGCATTAAAACATAAATTGAAATATTCTCACGGCATAATAGTGGCAAAATCCAAATTAAAATCCACACCATTTGCTATAACAAAATCCATACAAATTCCAATAACTAGCAATTGAATTGTGACTTGTCCATCAAATTCTCATGGAATAATAGTAGCAATTGAAATTTGAAACATGAAATGGGAGCAATTAGGTGAGAAATCAACCATGGAACCACCAAATCCACAAAAAAACCACAACAAACGAAATCCAGAATTCAAAACACAAATCACTAAAACAATGATGGGAGTTAAACATAATATATGAACTTGTCCTTCACAGCAGTTGTCGTATGCCTACAACTGAATCTCAGGCAAATCATCATTATCAATTGCCACATCGTCATCACGTCCCATTTCTGAGAATTCATCCTACAATATGTAATGGAAAAATATTTTAACACTCATACAAATATTCCACGAAAAGAATAATAAAAAGGCCTGAAAAGAATTGAAATCATTATCTTCACACTAGAACTATATGAAAAGAGATGATGCAACATTTGTAAATTGTAAAATAAATTCAAATCATAATTTCTCTAACTCATATCTTCATTTTTCCTTGCGTGCAAAATATTTACTTGACTCTTCATTCTTGTGAAATATTGAAACAACACTGAAATCTGTCAGCATATTCTATTATTATTGACAACATATTTGAAATTATTAATATTGCAACTCAAGAAAGAAAGAAAGAACCTCAAACATTAGATTATTCTTAATGGCTTCAAGAACATCAAGGTCACCAGGCAGCGAAGAAACATTCTTAGAACCTGAAAATAAAAAATTTAAAACCAAGTGCTTAGTGAATTTAACTCTTTGTAATCTAAAACCAACAATCAATTTGAAATTCTACCTTTTCTAGTAGCTATTATCCAGTCCTTAGTGCAAACAAGAGCTTGTACCATGTCAGGATCAAGGCGGCTGCGATATGGATCAATGACACGACCACCAGCACTAAATGCAGATTCAGATGCAACAGTTGAAACTTGAATTGCCAACACATCACGAGTAAGTAGGGACATGACAGGATACTCTTCCTTATGAGATTTCCACCATGCTAAAATGTCAAACATGTTCTGGTTGGCTTTAGTGGTCTTCAATAGTGGTTCTGCTAAGTACCTTTCCAATTCACTGAACTCTCCATCAGCATCATATGAGTCACTTTCAAATAGGTAGTTATCAAGCTCATCATCTATGTTGTTGCTGCCCATAAATAGATCTGCCAATGGTTCTTCAACTTCTTTATTGCTCTTTGAAGACTAAGGTGCAGCAGAAACATAGCATTGAAACATCTTCCTTAGGATACCATTGAATTTTTCAAGTTTAGCTTGGTAGGAATTATTATAGAACTTTCGCAAGTAAAATTCCACAATTCTTCTCTTGAACCTAGGATCAAGAACATTTGCTACAGCAAGTGCAATATTAGACTTCTTCCAGTACTTATCAAACTTGACACTCATAGCATTTGCCATTCTACAAATAGTGGTATCCTTACTAATGCACCAATCAGCTAGCAATATCTTAATCTCACAAAAGCCTCTAAAAAATAGGTTCGCCGTTGGATAGGTAGTACCAGAGAATATCTCAGTAAGCTCAAAGAATTTTTTCAAGAAGGGCATCAAAATTTGTGCCTTATCCCATTCATGATATGAAGGAGCAATACTTCCATACCTGTGGCGGTCAATGGAAGTCAGCCTCGCAAAAGCAGTCTTATAATATAGAGCATCCCTCAACATTAGATATGTTGAATTCCACCTTGTAGAAACATCAAGTGACAGAGAAGGCTTTGTGTCTAACCCACATTCAACAACACACTTTTGGAACTCCTCCCACTGTATTGTAGACCCCTTAACAGCAAGTACAAATGCCCTAATCTTTTCAGTTGCATCAGAAATCACACGCATAGCATCTCTAACAACCAAATTCATGATGTGATTAGCACATCTCACATGAAAAAATAGCCCATCACATACTAAATTGCTATGTTTCTTGAGCTCTATAATTAGATCCTTAACAGCAACCTCATTTGCAGAAGCATTATCCAAAGTCAAAGAGAACATCTTTTTCTCAACATACCATTTTAAAAGACAAGAACTAACCGTATAAGACAACCTGTCACCGGTGTGTCGCCCTTCAACATGGAGGAAATTGATAATCCTCTTCTGAATTTTCCAATCATCATCAACCCAATGAAGGGTGATACACATATAACCCTTATTCTGGTTGGATGTCCACATATCCATCGTTGCACTAAACCGGCTTTGAATGGTTTTGAAATATTCATACAACTTATCTCTTTCAGCTGAATAATACTCCATGATTTCCTTTCTAACAGTGACACGAGACTTGAGAGGATAATTTGGACGCATGGATTTGACCCATTCTTGAAAAAACTCATGCTCAACCATGTTGAAAGGATACTCATGAACAATCATTGCCTCGTAGAACTTCCTCAAGCTAGCTTCTTGACCATATTTATAGGGTTGGATTGTTGCAATGCCTGTCTCATTATTTTTTTTTTGTTGTGAGCTGCTGCTGTCCTTTCTTTATACTGTGGTAATTAGCAAGATGTGTCCAAAAAGCAGTTGTTCCAAAATTGCTCTCAGCTCTATGCTTGCTAGTCCTGTTTTTACACCCTTTGAAATTGCACTTTGCCCAACATTGTTGTTCCTGCTTGCCATTTACCTCCACTGTCACCCAGTACTTGGTGAAGTATTGCCACACTTCAGATGTGGTTTTCTTTGCCTTCTTGGTAACAGGTTGTTCCTCAACATCACTGTTCACATTGATGGCATCATGACTCTCCTGTGTGCCACCACCATCGGCTGCTTCACTTGGCACTAAACTTCCCTCAGATGAAGGTATCGATGTTGAAGCAGGTGCTGGCGAGGAAGCAGACACACTATAACTTTGATTTGCTACACTTGAAGGCAACATCATTTTGTTACGAGTACCTATCAAATATCAATCAAAATATTAAAGAAAGAACTAAATTGCAAAAGAACTCCCAAATTAAAAGAAATAAACTCAGAAACAATGTACAATACTAAATAGCACAAGTTAATATTTTTCTTAGAACCTTAAATTTTAAATATCTTATGTTCTGCTTCTGCTTCATAAACCTAAATTATTGTGCTGATTCTTCACATATTTTCCTAAAAACAACAATGAGAGATATGAATTCACTTCAAAAATCCCCCCTCCCGCCTGCCCTCCTATATCCTGTCCATTTCCCTTCACTGAACCAATCATAGCCGTATTCAATTCATCAATTGTGATAAATATAACATTATAACAAATATATTAACATAAACGATTGTTGATAACTGGATATGATATTCCAATAAAGCAAGTAAGCAACACCCACCAAAATCTGCATATGCTTTTTCACTTAAGTTAACACGATAATCTAGTTAAGCCCTTATTCATACATCGCAGCAATTCCTAAAGTCATTGTTGTCTCTCTGGAAACTCAATGATTTTATAAAGAAACAGATTCACAAACAGATTTGCATCAAATTTTCATTGTTGTAATGTTGTCCCAAAATTTGCATCAAATTCGCACAAACAGTTCCAATAAAGCCGGGGGACACAGACTGAGCAGATATCGGGGAATTGCAAGTCAGCAACAATCACTAAAAAGAATAGAAATTCATGTAAACTCTTTTAACTAATATCAG